TATTATCGATTTTGCAAAAGATATAACCTAAGTACAATAAACAAGCAAGAGTCACTTCTTGGTAAGAAAACAAGACATGATTTCCTTGTGATTTAAAGGAGAAAAATGATGACTAGTTTTAACCCGTGGTTTCTATCCATTTACTCTGGAAATAGAAGAGATAAAAAGTAACCTGTCAATGAAAAGACTATTACATAGATTGTGCTGTTGGCTAACACAAGATTCTTGTGGATGCTTAAAACGCTGAACAGACTACATGAAATTCTGAAAGGATTAAGAAATAAAATGTAATTCCTATCCAATGATACTCATTACCTTTCAATTACAGGATGAATAGAAGCAAAAAGAAAATATGGAAGGCTTTTAAAGGTAAGCTCCTAATCGTAACACTAACCTAGGGTCAGTATTGAACCAGCATGTAAGCTGATATGGTACCCTGCACGTCTCATTAGGTTCAGAGATCAGCTCTGGTTCCCAGATCCTTGCTTTATCACCCCTGTTTGCTTTGATCTCACCCACCTTGGTTAACTCTGTTAAATGAGAACATTATAAAACATTGGGGTGTCTTATTAGTATGCTGAGATCTATACAATCCCTAAGACTAAGCTTTTCTAAACTTGTCCTTTCCTTGGGATACACTAACCACACTCTTCACCCCTCATTTGGCTGCCTTGTATCTTTTCAAAACCACACCAACTCTGGGACCTGTATATTCTTCAGTTAGCTCACAATTGAGAACACAGCTAACTCCACTGAAGAGTGAAAAGTGGGTTTGATTTATAGTCTGTTAACCAGCACAACAGAGAGCATTAGGGAAACATGGTGCACTTCCTCCTTCGTGTTCAGCGTATCATTAATCAATAGCTTCCTTTCTACCTTTTGTCAGGATTCAAGTTTATTACAAAATTCAAGGCTGAAATCCATTTATTTGCTAATTTTACAAAGCATACCTTAAAAATAATAGCACAGAGAACTCTACTCAATATTCTGTGGTAATCTATACGAGAAAAGAATCTAAAAAAAGAATGGAATATATGTATAACTGAATCACTTTGCTGTACACCTGAAACTAACACAACACTGTAAATTAACTATACTCCAATAAAATTAAATTTTTTTGAAAAAAAAGTTTTAAAAAAGCTAAAAGTCAAGGGTTTTCAGATCCATCTTATAATTCAAAAATTCAGCATATATATGCATAAGAATAGAAATAAGAAAAAAAGTAGACCTGAATGAAATAAAAAACTAACTTATAAGCAAAAAACTCAACAAACACAAAGCCTAGTTCTTTGAAAGCACCATGAAATGTAAAAGATAAAAAAAATGAAGGGAAAATTTACCATTAACATGAATCAAAAGAAAATAATACAGCATACTAATGAATTGAATCTAACAACATAAAAAAGATAATACTCCACAATTAGACTTGGCTAGGCAAGGCCAGAACCCTCAGGGCTGGCTGTTACAAAGGACAGGCTGGAATTCTTGGGCAGAAGCTGATGCTGTTATCCACAGGAAGAATTTCTTTTTTCTTTAGGGAAGCTGTAGCTCTTAGGGCATTTCAATTAACTGAACTGTGTCCATGGAACTATCCAGGATAATTGCCCTTACTTAAAATAAACTGATTATGGACTTTAATCACATCTATAAAATACCTACAGAGCAACACAGAGATCATTTTTTTCATTGAATAACTGGGGAATGTAGTGTGGTCAAGTTGACACTTCAATGACCATCACAAAATGAGAACTTTTCCCATGTTTTCTTGTGAGGCCTGCATAATTCTAATATCAAAAGCTGACAAAATATTTTAAGAAAAGTAAATTGCAGACCAATATCCTTCACAAACAACAGATACAAAAATTCTTGACAAAATATTAACAAACTACATACAGCAATGCATAAAAAAGAGGCTACATTTTGACCAAGCAAAGTTTATTCAAGGAATGCAAGTTTAATCTTCAAATACCAATCACTATAATTCATATTAAAAGAGTTAAGATAAATAATCATATGATTATCTGAAGAGATGTAGAAAAAGTATTTGTCCAAATTCAACACCTATTCTTCACTAGGAAAAAAAAAAGCAAAATTCTTGGCAATCGAGGAATTAAAGGAAATGTTTTCAATCTGATAACAGATATCTATCTTAAAAATTATAGTTAATATCATTTGTAATGAAGAAATACTGAAAGATTTTGCCCTAAGAGTACAAGATTGTCTTATATAATCATTTCTATTCAACACTGTACTGGAAGGTCTAGCTACAACAAGTCAAGAAAAGGAAATAAGAGTCATAAATACTGGAAATGAAGAAACAAAACTGTCATTATTTACAGCTGACATGATTGTATGTGTATAAAATTCTACAGAATTAAAAAAACAAACAAACAAAAAACATCACCACAAACTCTAGGCAAAGCAAAGTGAATTCATAAATAAATCAACCATATTTCTAGACTAGCAATAAGAAGTTGAATAATGGTATTAAAAGAAAAACTAATAGGACTTCCCTGGTGGTCCAAATGGATAAGAATCTACCTGCCAAAGCAGGACACATGGGTTCAATCCCTGGTTCTGAAAGATTCCACATAGCAAGGAGCAACTAAGCCCATGGTCACACCTACTGAGCCCATGCTCTAGAACTAGAGGGCTGCAACTACTGAACCCGCATGCTGCAGCTACTGAAGACCATGTGCCCTAGAGACCATGCTCTGCAATAAGAGAAACTACCACAGTGAGAAGCCCATGCATAGCAACTAGAAAAAGCTCACACAGAGATAGCAACAGAGACCCAGCACAGGCAAAAATAAATAAATAAATATTTAAAAATCCAATAATACAGTGAAAAAGCAAATATGCATGAATACATTTAACCAGAGAAGTATAAGATGTCTATATTAAAAATTACAAAACATTTCTAAAATCAAACAATACCTAAATAAGTGGAGAGAGATACCACATTTACAGTTGCACTTTCAACATTGTTAAGACTTAGATTCCTCAAATTATTTACAGTTAAAAGGAAATATTAATAAAATTATCAGTGGGCTTTTATGGGAAAAAAAAATTGAAAGGCTTCTAAAATTTACACAGAAAAGAATCCAGGATGATAAAAACAACCTTGACAAAGGAGTACAAAGTTAGAGGACTTAGACTATGGGTTTCATCTTTTATGAAAATATACAATAACAAAGACTGCAGTACTGATATAAGGATAAACATATTAGTGGAACAAAATAAAGTATACAGACACAAACCTCCTTTCATAGATTCAAAGGATTTATAACCAAAGTGCCAATTCAACACAAGAAAGTCATTTAACAAATGTGGCCAGGATGACTGGAAAATATAAACCTCAACCACTAACTACTGTTCCATACACAAAAGTTAGTGCAAGGTGTATCATTTTCTAAAAAGGGAAAATAATAGGAAAGCTAGGCCTGGAAATCAGTGAGACTAGAACGTTCTCTCCTCATTAATGAAAACGTTTCCTACTGAAATCAGGTAGCATCGATCCCTGTCCCTCTATATGGTCATGCAAAAATGTGATGAATTCTGATTCTGACTGGTATCTAACCATGAGCTAAGCACGCAGTGGAAACCCAACCTTGATCTAGCTTGCTGTAGCAAAGAAACAGAACCATTCACAATATCTTTTCAAAGTAATTCACAATCATTGTCAAAATGCGACAATGTTTTTTGGGAAAGATTGCTTCTGGGGATAAATTATGAAGTTAAAGCCAGCAGGACACATTCATAAAGCAAGTTTTCAGAAAAGAAAAAAAAAAAAAATCAGAATTTTTTTTTTTTTTGCAGTAAAAGTCCTCTGCCTCTGAATCTCAGCTCACTTCTCATTAGTAAACAATAGAAGCCTTTGCTTATAGGCTGTTTGCATTCAGATGCTCAATGCTGCATTTCTGTGTACAACTTTTGATAAATTCCTTTCATTTCTAAAACTAACACTTGGAAAGAAAAAGAAAGTTCCACACAGGCTTAATCACTGAAAAGCACATAGAATTAAACAGAAAAAACACCACACATGAGTAACAATGCTGAATGAAGAGAAGAGAACTGAGATGACCCTACATCATTCTTCAGAAACTCAAGTTCACAGACAAAACAAGAAGGCTAGAGTTCTCTTTTTTCCCTAAGAAACCTTAAGACAGAGCAATCAACATGTAAAAATAAAAACTGCCAACCAAAAATGAGCAAGACATTTTCTGAGATAACTTTGATCCCATAGTCAAATTACTGGCTTAAAGCCTTTGTATCTTCAAAAACTGCTCTCTATTGTCCTTGTTGGGCATCCCAGGTGGCTCAGTGGTAAAGAATTGGCCTGACAATGAAGGAGACGTGGGTTTGATCCCTGGCTCAGGAAGATCCCCTGGAGAAGGGAATGGCTTAGTCACTCCAGTATTCTTGCCTGAGAAAGCCCATGGACAGAGGAGCCTGGCAGGCTACAGTCTATGGGGTCACAAAAGAGTCAGACATGACTCAGTGACTAAACAACAACATTATCCTAGTTAAAGTATTATTTTTACCTTATTTTTACCAATCTTTTCTAAGTAACCACATGTGGTGTTATCCAAATAAAATGGTGCAGTAAATATTTGTCCTCTGTGGTAAATCAATGCAAAATTTAGTTTATCTAGGCTATCTTTCCATGAAAGATGCTTGTTTCTGTTATGAAATATGCTCACGGTAAAGGGAATCCACATCAGACACCTGGAAGGCAGAGGGAGAACCACTCATCCAGCATGTTGCTGCTTCAGACTAACCTTGACATGACTGGAGAGCCACTCCTGACCCAGGTGTTACTCATGTTAACTCAGCCTCCCAATCACAGCCACACCTTTCTCTTACAAACACAGCCTCTTAGTGAAGATAACAGGACACATCACCAGGCTGAAAGCCCACCCTCAGCCTCTGTGAAAAGGCCTTGACAAACAGGCACTCTCCTCTTCCCTGTGAGAACTCTGACAGGACTGTTTTGTTACCTGGATGAAATCTTGAAATATCAGGGGCAGTAAGTCATCCATATGCCCAATGTCTTTGGAGAAACGATTCAGAATTCTTCCTGCAAGAAGAGGACACATGACTCATTTCCTCAGATAGGAGCTTTAAGAGAAATAATTAATGAACAAATGAAAGCAATATTCTTAAAGTATATGTAATCAGGGACTTCCTTCGTGGCACAGTGTATAAAAATCTGCCTGCCAGTGCAGGAGACATGGGTTTGATCCTTAGGTTGGGACGACCCCATGAAGGAGAAAAGGCAACCCACTCTAATATTCTTGCTTAGGAAACCCCATGGACTCAGGAGCATGGCAGGCTACAGTCCATGTGGTCGCAAAAGAGCTGGATACAATTCAGCAACTAAACAAAAACAAAAATTTAATATATTACAGAGTCACATGAAATAGGCTGACATCCATGGTAAAAAGAAAAAGAAAATAAGATGAAATTATACCGAATGGCAGTGGGTTGAAACTGAGCTCTGATATTTAGAAGAATAGGGAGAATCTTGTGGCAGCATCAGGAAGGGTTGGTGAATTTCAGAATGTTCCCTTCTTTTAGATTCATTCCATCTAAGACTCACTCCAGTGCTAAACTGGTAATAAACAGTTGCAAAATATGTAGGCTAATCATACTTGTTACACTAATTTTGCTTTAGTTATTCATATTAATTTTGCTAAGTGACACTTTTTAAATAAACATAATTCTAACCTCTCTTTTATAATTAAGTAACAGAAAAAGATATTTTCTGAGATGACTTTGATCCCATAATCAAATCACTGGCTTAAACACTTTGTGTCTTCAATAACTGCTCTCTCTAGTCCATGTTGGGCTTTCCAGGTCGCTCAGTGGTAAAGAATCTACCTGCCAATACAGAGATGTGGGTTTGACCCCTGGGTCAGGAAGATCCCCTGGAGAAGGAAATAGCAACCACCCCAGTATTCTTGCCTGGGAAATCCCATGGACAGAAGAGCCTGGTAGGCTGCAGTCCATGGGGTTGCAAAGAGTGGGACAAGACCTAGCAACTAAAGCACCAACTACCATAACTTCTCTGTAATTTTTTTTTTTTCCCCTCCAGATGGTTCACAGCATCTCCCATTTTAGGAAATTGTGGATTCTGGTCATTTCCAAGTTGTGAGTTTACTACTGGGGTAGTAAGTTTTATTTTCAGAGGTGTACAAGATGTGACAAACACAGACTTATGAATAAATATCTAAGAATATCAGAGGGATGTAGGCAGGAAAACAAAAATATTACTGAATGACTAAGACTCACTTATCATTGATTTTCTTTCCCTTGTCATAATCCATAACAGTAGCATATACAAAAGGCTGTAGAATTAGAAGATGAGAACTAATTTCTAGTAAATACCTAGTGTGAACTAAAAATGCCACTTGTTATTTCAGTAAACAAAGGTTGCTGCAACCATTAGGACTCTGCAGCCACCCCTGCAAGGGCATCGCACGCTTTGGAAACTCGGGATGAGAAAGCACAGGGTCCTGGCCCCAGATAGCAGAGGTGCCCATCAAAGGAACTATAACAGGGAAGAGTCACTTTTGACTCCATGTTGAGTCTGCTGAATAGCTTTATCTTTAGCTATTCATAGTTTTTGTCAGCAAAACCTGCCCCTCTGCCTGAATGTTAAATTAAAATGGCTTTTTTTCAGCTCATGGGGAGACAATCTGATCCTCACCATCTCTGAATGGCTACAGAAAAGAAAAAGTAACACATTCCCTCCTATTTTGCAAGATAAATGGTCTTTTAACTTTACTTCCTCACCTCCTCTCCCTCTTTGTTCTATAAAACAGATTAGCATCCAGACCCCAATAAGATGATTTTTTGAGGCATTAGTCTGCCATCTTCTCAGTCTGCCAATTTTCCGAACAATGTCATTATTCCTGGCCATAACGCCTTGCCTGTAAGATTTATTGGCCTGTCATGAGGGAAGTAGAGTGAGCTTGAACTCAGGAACATGGCTATAGGTGGTTTTCTCTTCATGACGTAACATACCAGAAACAAAGTCCACCAGAAACAATCTATTACAAATTCTACTTTTGGAAATAAACACAGGGAAGAGTTCTATTTAATACACCATTAAAAGGGTAAATAACTGATGCCCCTAAACCTTTGCAAATAACCTAGTTTCTATTTTCTTGAAAGAATGAAGTTCTGATAATAGATACAGGAGGGACAGAAAAGACAAAGACACACACTGTGCATGCCTGCTGCTTCAGATTTAGTGACTTGAAGATTTAAACTTGGTTCAAAATTCTTGAATAATAAATAAATCAGTATCTGGAGAAGCCTACAGGCCATCAAGAGCCTGGTTAATTGCCGTCACAAGCACTCAGAGGCTGTGATAAGAGAAACTGAGTCCCACATGATGCTCCCAAATGTACGACTGCAGTTTTCACACTAACAGGCAAAGCAGAGCAACTTCACAGCCATAATAACATGGACTCCTCCAATCACTTCCTCACTCTGGCTTCATAATAAGATGAGATTGTGTGGGCATCTGCAGTTTACCATCCTGTGTTCCACATAGTGCCTGGACCAAACAACATGTGCTGAAAAAAATCTGCACAAGATGCTGCCCTGAATAATCTTATGTAATCCTCACAACAGTCTTATGAAACAGGAAGGGCAGCAGTTATTCCCATTTCACAGGAGAGGAAGTTCCCAGACACTGTGTCATCATCCTCACTAAGGTCCACTGGGCTCTGACCCTGGGGTAAGTGCTGTGAATGTATTAACGTGCTTAACGTGCACAATTTCAAGATATTGTGAGTGTGTGAATAGTATTTTCATTTTATACGTAAGAAAATCGAGACACAGAGAAATTAAATAACCAGCACATAAGTATTAACATAACTATAAGTAGCTGTTACTATTAGTAACTATTTCCAGGACTGAATCCAGGAAGTTGTCTCCAGAGTCCATACTTTTTTTTTTTTTGGCTGTACTGTGCAGCATGTGAGATCTTAGTTCCCAGATCAGGGGTTGAACCTGGGCCCCCTACACTGGAAGCACAGAGTCTTAACCACTGGACCAGCAGGGAAGTCCCCAGAGTCCATACTTATAACCATGACAACATCCTGCCTGGAGATTTGCCTACAGTAGCATCTACCTATTTTGGCCTTGATCACACAGCTAGTTGATGGCCAGGACAAGGCTACTGCTGTCCTCCCTCCAGTGACACCTGTGCATCAACAGGTCCTGTCAATCATAACCTGCATAACAAAGCCTCCCTGGGCCTCAGCACAAGTCTAACCACCTGAACAGAATGGGCATGTGCACTGATGAACTAGCTCTTCATAGGAACCCAGGTCAAGAGGCCACCTTCAGAAGCAAGACAGGTCGAAGCCCTCAAGGAGGAGGAAGCAACCACTGGGAAACCTTCAGGGACACTCTTACTTTATACTGAAGATCCACCTGCTACCTACCACAAGATTCTTAAATGTAACCAAAAGTCTACTGTAAAACTAGAAAGCTGATCTTATTGAAGAGGATGTTTACATTTCACTGATCTTGTATTTTAATTAATTTTCCATTACCATTTATTTAAACATCAAAATATGATCACATGCCAGAGCTCCATGGTCCCAGAAATGGATGGGCAGTGAAAGAAAGAAACACACAGCCTGTCTTCTGTAGAGATGTTCCCAGAAGAAGGTCCTTCCTAGTTAGCTTAACACTATGAAACACAGCCAGCATTTCAGCAAAACAAGTCAAAAACACTTCAACATATTTACACCATATGTTGGGTGTTTTATATGCCACATGACAAATGGACTCTTAAATCATCCTGCAAAGTAAACACTCATTAATCTTTACAGACCTGTACAAATTGGAATAAAAGCTTATGTGCTCCTATATTCAGATTTTCTCTGGTAGGAAAAAATATCAGTGAAGATTTTTGTAGAAAATGAATAAACATGCACAATAATTTTCTTCCAAGCATCTCTTCCATTTTCAAATATGAAAATGCACTCAGGCACTAAATGTGTTATATAGACACTTTCACTGAGAAACTTGATGTCTGACTTACCTATTGGATTTCTATTGAAGAACAATACTGGGACTCTCAAAATGGTCTCCAACATTTTGTTGTGCAAAGTTTGTGAAGAATTAACAAGGATGTAGAATATCAACAGAGACCTTGTGATGCCAAGAAGGACGGTAGATACAGTTAACCCTGAAATAAAGAAATAACACTCAGAACAAGATCTCTGCCTTATCCTCAATGATGCTAAATGATGGCAGACAGTTTACAAAGATTAGTTCAGTCCAGTTTAGTCCCTCAGTCGTGTCCGACTCTTTGTGACCCCATGGACTGCAGCATGCCAGGCTTCTCTGTCCATCACCAATTCCCAGAGCTTGCTCAAACTCATGTCCATTAAGTTGGTGATGCCATCCAACCATCTCATCCTCTGTTGTCCCCTTCTCCTCCCACCTTCAATCTTTCCCAGCATCAGAGTCTTTTCTAATAAGTCATTCTTCGCATCAGGTGGCCAAAGTATTGGAGTTTCAGCTTCAGCATCAGCACTTCCAATGAATATTCAGGACTAATTTCCTTCAGGATGGACTGGTTGGATCTCCTTGCACTCCAAGTGGTTGGATCTCCTTGCAGTCCAATGGACTCTCAAGAGTCTTCTCCAACACCACAGTTCAAAAGCATCAATTCTTTGGTGCTCAGCTTTCTTTATAGTCCAACTCTCACATCCATACATGGCTACTGGAAAAACCATAGCCTTGGCTAGACGGACCTTTGTTGGCAAAGTAATGTCTCTGCTTTTTAGTATGATGTCTATATTGGTCATAACTTTTCCTCCAAGGAGCAAGTGTCTTTTAATTTCATGGCTGCAGTCACCATCTGCAGTGATTTTGGAGCCCGCCAAAATAAAGTCTGCCACTGTTTCCATTGCTTGCCCATCTATTTGCCATGAAGTGATGGGACCAAATGCCATGATCTTAGTTTTCTGAATGCTGAGTTTTAAACCAACATTTCCACTCTCCTCTTTCACTTTCATCAAGAGGCTCTTTAGTTCTTCTTTGCTTTCTGCCATAAGGGTGGTGCCATCTGCTATCTAAGGTTATTGATATTTCTCCTGGAAATCTTGATTCCAGGTTGTGCTTCATCCAGCCCAGCATTTCTCATGATGTATTTGGCATATAAGTTAAATAAGCAGGGTGACAATATACAGTCTTGATGTACTCCTATTGATATATTGTGTATTTTATTCTATAAATAAAATTTATATATAGAAACTTACATATATATAATAAATAAATTTTATATATGTAAATATATATAAAGTAGATTCTGTAAGAGTTTAATGCTTTCACACAAATACATTTATAAAGAAGAATATAAAAATCAATGATTTCCTCTCACTAAATAGCAACATGAGGGGAGGGAATCATGTGTAAGCTACAGTTTCATTTTAGGTTTTCCTGATTCAATTACAAGTTCTAAAAAAATTTCACAAGATTGATAATTATAAAAAGCAGTTGATCTTCCTTTTTCCGCATTTCAAATTTCACTATTTACTTCATGTCCTAAAACCGAGGCATGCTTTGGTACCAGCATGTGAATTAAGAGAGAATAGGATAAGTGATTTACCATTTCCTTATAATTTACAAGGAAATTTACTTCCATGTAAACTAGCTACTGTATAGCAAGGGATTTCTAGTCAATGCTCTGTGGTGACCTACTAAACTACTGTATAGCATAGGGATTTCTAGTCAATGCTCTGTGGTGACCTAAACGGGAAGGAAATCTAAAAAAGAGAGAGGATGCATTTATAATTGGTTCACTTTGCTGTACAACAGAAACTAACATAACATTGGAGATGTTATGTTTACTGTAATAAAATTTAAAATATTAAAAATAAAGTAGCTACTTCTATGCCCAAGTAGCTTTAAAGAGTATGAAAAGACCATGTTAAGTTGCAAGTGGGCAATCTCTTTAAATAACTGAATTGCAAGACACTACAAATTATATTATGACATGAGATAATTAATCTAAACAAGCAACTAATCTCTAAGTGTTCTGTAGAAGCTCAAAGCATTTGCAAATAAAGATAATCATTTTGTTTTATCAATGACATAACTGAACACTACTATGCATCTAAAAATTAAAACAGCCCTCCAAACATCTCATCAATTCACAATGCTAAATAGAGTTGGGATAACTTCTGTAATAAATACTTCATCAAGCATTTTGTTTTCATTCAGCTGACCAGTGTTATTTAAATTCTGAAAGCTGCTCAAATTCCTGAATTCCATCAATAGGGATTTAGTCCACCACCATATATGAATGTGTAACAGAATCCCTTCTTCTTCCTTAAACCCTCCTTGTCCACCAATTCAGAAGGTAAACAGCTGGTAGATTCAAATTTCTTAGCAAGTGATCAACTAAATAAGTACCAAATTTCAAGGAATGGAATTTTACATTAACTCACTTTTTTGTAGAAAACTTGTACAAGCATGTCCTATGAGGATATTTAAGTTTTTATTTAGCTGTTTTTTAAATTTTTTATTGGATTATAGTTGTTTTATAATGTTGTGTTAGCTTCTGTTGTACAAGGAAGTGAATCAGCTCTATATTTACATATAACTCCTCCCTCTTGGACCTCCCTCCCCTGCACCCCTCTAGTCATCACAGAGCACAGAGCTGAGCTCCCTGTGCTATACAGCAGTTTCCAACTAGCTATCTGTTTTACACATGGTAGTGTATATATGTCAATCCTAATCTCCCAATTCATCTTCCTCACCTCCACACCCCTCGCTGTGTTCACACATCTATTCTCTACATCTACGACTCTATTCCTGCCCTGCAAATAGGTTTATCTGTACTATTTTTCTAGATCCCATATATATGCATCAATATAACCTTTTTTTGTTTGTTTTTCTCTTTCTGACTTTACTGTGTATGATAGACTCTAGGTCCATCCATGTCTCTATAAATGACCCAATTTCATTCATTTCTATGGATGAGTAATAATCCAGTGTACATATGTACCATGAAAGAGATGAAAAGACAACCCCGAGAATGGGAGAAAATAACTTCAAATTAAGCAACTGACCTGGGAAGAGACCAACCTAGAGACCATATTAAAAACCAGAGACATTACTTTGCTAACAAAGGTCCATCTAGTCAAAGCTATGCTTTTTCCAGTAGTCATGTATTGATATGAGAGTTGGACTATAAAAAAAAACTGAGCACCGAAGAATTGATGCTTTTGAACTGTGGTGTTGGAGAAGACTCTTGAGAGTTCCTTGGACTGCAAGGAGATCCAACCAGTCCATCCTAAAGGAAATAAGTCCTGAATATCCATAGGAAGGGCTGATGCTGAAGCTGAAGCTCCAATACTTTGGCCACTTGATGTGAAGAACTGACTCATTTGAAAAGACTCTGATGCTGGGAAAGATTGAAGGTGGGAGGAGAAAGAGATGACAGAAGATGCGATAGTTGGATGGCATCACCAACTCAATGGACATGAGTTTGAGTAAGCTCTGAGGGTTCGTGATGGACCTCCCTGGTAGCTCAGATGGTAAAGCAGTAAAGCCTACAAAGCGGGAGATCTGGGTTCCATTCCTGGGTTGGGAAGATCTCCTGGAGAAGGAAATGGCAACCCACTCCAGTATTCTTGCCTGGAAAATCCCATGGATGGAAGAGCCTGGTAGGCTACAGTTCATGGGGTCGCAAAGAGTCAGACACAACTGAGCAACTTCACTTTCACTTTTTCTGGGAGTTTCTGATGGACAGGGAAGCCTGTCATGCTCTAGTCCATGGGGTCGCAAAGAATCAGACATGACTGAACAACTGAACTGAACTGAAGCAACTGACCAGGGTCTCCACAATACACAAGTAGCTCATGCAGCCCAATATTAAAAAAAAAAATCACAACCCAATCAAAAAATGGACAGGAGATCTAAACAGACATTTCTCCAAAGAAGACATACAGTTGGCCAAGTGGCACATGAAAAGACATTCAACATCACTATTAGAGAAATGCAGATCAAAACTACAATAAGGTATCACCTCACACTATTCAGAATGACCATCATCAAAAAATATACAAACAATAAATGCTAGAGAGGGTGTGGGGAAAAGGGAACCCTTTTAGACTATTGGCAGGAGCATAAACTGATACAGCTGCTATGGAGAACAGTATGGAGGTTCCTCAAAAAACTAAAAACAGAAATACTGTATGACCCAGCAGTCCCACTACTGGTCAGATACCCTGAGAAAACCATAATTCAAAAAGACATATGCACCCCAATGTTCATAGCAGCATTATTTACAAAAGTCAGGATATGGAAGCGACCTAAATGTCCTAAACAGATGAATGGATAAAAAAGGTATTTAAAATTTTAGCTGAAGATAGCCTTTAAATAGCATATAATGCAATATATATTCTAAACCCTCTTGTGAATAGAGAGAGTCATGTTAATATAAGTCTGGCAAGCCATATGTTAAACTAATCACATAATTTGGGAGGAGATAACACTGATCTCAAAGTAAGAAAGAGTAGGAATCTAATCCCAGACACTTGATTTCCCCTACTTAGCTTCTCAAGCAATTAGTGAAGCCCAAGAGATGAGCAGTGTGGTGAAGGGGAGCTTTGCATACCTGGGAAGGAATAATGCTTTCATCTGGGGCCCATGGTGCCAGAGGATTTCATCCAAGATCAATAAAAGCCAAAGTTTACTCAGACAGAATTGGATCAAGGTGAACCACAGGGTGGGGATCCGTTTCTAATCCCCTGCCCATCCATATAATGACATAAGATTTAGCAAAAGCAACCTTATGAGAATAGACAATAGCAATATATTTCCAGGGGCTGATTTTCTGAATGTGCAATCCTGGTTTAACTACCAAAATCGAGTACACAGCAAATTAAGAGGCTTCATTCAATCTTTTTTTTTCTAGTAGATCTTTAAAATAGTCATTCTAATTAACTCACAGAGTAAATGCAACTCAGACACTTAAACTGTTAAGACATTACTGAATTACTCTGGAAGCCCTTGTTGCTCACACAGACTCATTGTAAGTACCTTAAACTCTGGTAAAAAAGAGCAGATCACTCAACTTTACCTGAATAAACTCCTAGGAACCAGTTCAGAACAAGCATCACATTGACATCTTTTACTAAAGCCCCAGAATACAGGTCACTTTGTACATTTGCCCTATGGAACAGGGAAGAAAAAATATTATACTACACATATGCACAGAATTAACACAAATATCAAAAAAATTACCTCAATTCAAGAAATACATTTATGCTGGAAAGTGTTTCCCAACTCACAAGACCCTGTGGGATCTCTCTGTTAAATATTTAAATCACGACTTTCAGTTCTCAAAATTGTCCATGAAGACAGACTTAGAAAATGAACTTATGGTTGCTAAGTTCATTTTAGCTTTCCCTCTAACTATGGGGAAGTACAGTTAGAGAGTTTGGGATGGTCATGCACAAACTGCTATATTTAAAACAGATAACCAACAAGGACTTATTGTGCAGCACATGGAACTCTGCTCAGTGTTATGTGGCAGCCTGGATGGAGGGGTTTTGGGGGAGAACGGATACATATATAAGTATGGTTGAGTCTCTTCACTGTTCACCTGAACATTGTTAATATCACAACAGTGTTAATCAGCTACACCTCAATACAAAATTAAAAGTTCTAAAAAAAGAAAAAAAAGTTGTCTGTGAAGAAGCTGCTAAAAGGAGGGACATGGGGAGAGACAACCAGGGAATCATATTCCACCCGCAAGATGTTTAACTTTAATTCAGGGAAACTACGTGAGGGTCAGAAGAGGAGGCTGAACAAGCCTCACCTCTCTCCGACTCTGTGGGAAAGTGAGGTTCGTGTAGATTTCACAGCACTTTGGGTCAGACCAGGAATCACTCACCAGTATGCAAGCCACCAGTCCTGCAGGGCGTAGGTGACCTGGAGCAGGAAACACAGTCACTCAGACACTGATGTCACTGAGCCTCACCCCCGCTCACCAGGGTAGGGGATGGGAAGGCTCCAGAACAAAGGACCATAGAGAAGGTCCTTCCGGCTCAGATCTGCACCAAACCCCACACCCCAGATGACCACAGGTGAGGGCATGTTTCATTTTAAAATCTTTAAAACATATCCTCTTTTCCCTAGAAAACTTCGCTCCCACAGATAATGTATTTCAACGCAAATCCAAGTGAACCTCAAAATGCAATAATAGCAGTACAAATGTTGGGATTTTTCAAAGGAAAAATCTTGACAGGTACTATGATGGTCAGTTTTCTGTGTCAGCTTGGCCAGGACAGTCTCCAGTGATTCAACCAAACACTCGACTAGATGTTGCTGTGAAGGTATTTTGTGGATGTGGTTCACGTCCATCATCAGAACTTAAGTAGAGGAGATCACCCTTAACACTGTGGTGGCCTCATCAAGTCAGACAAAGGCCTGAGAGCAAAACCTGAGGCTTCCTGGAGGAGGAAGAAATTCTGCCTCAAGACAGCAGGGACAACTCCTGCCTGAGGTTCCAGCCCTCAGGCCTGCCTTTCTGATTTCACATTCAACCAGCTAGATCCCAAAACATCATAAGTCAATTCTTTGAGATAAATCTCTTAATATACATTTTAAAAATAATTATAAAATACAACATAAATAGTATGTAAACATCAAACTAAGAGCACAAGCCAAAATAAAAGCCCTTATGTACCTGAGCTGCAAAGTTTACTAGAATAAGGAAGATGATGACAGGCCAGTCAGCACCAGCTGTGAAATAATTCTCATAGGTCTTAAAACCAACTTTTCCTTCCAAATGGTCCTCGAGAGGTAGTGTAACCTGTATATTCTCAGTCTAGAAGGGAAAAATGGCAGTGAGAGATGAAATTTTGTAAGAGATGAAATTTTAAACAATGAGCCCCAAATTTCAAGAGTTCAACAATGCCCTCCACTGCAACGCTGTGGGGAAACAGATACATCTCTTACACTGGTACAAGTGCAACATGATCCATCTCCTACGGAGAAGGGAGTGGGAATATCTGGCCAAACCACATATGCATTTACCTCTGGACCTAGCCATTCCACTCCTCGGAATTTATTAGAAGTAGAGAAACATCATTTTCATGAGGTAATTCACTGTTGGGTGACTTTGCTTAAAAGCACAATATCTGAATCTATTTGGTTACTAAATTTCAGAGAGTGATTCTTGAGTGTGGAATGTGAGGGACCAATCCGAACACTTATCAGAATCATCCAGGCTCTTGGGTTTGGATATAAAAGCATATCTGTGTTGTTTTTAAGGGAGATCTAGTGCATTTTTGCATTTCTGACTGGAGGACTTAAAATGCATTATACAGTCACTGGAGCCCCAGATATCCTTGGCTCTATGCTGGCCAGTGGGATTCAAGATCAATAAGATGTGGGTCTCAGTCTTGACTGGTAAGAAAGGAGGATGGGAACTAACTCCAGAGTGTCTACTATGTATGAGGTCCTTTGAATACGCTACCTCTGATTTATGATAAACCTTCTGACAATGAGGCAAAATAATATTATCAGTCGCCTGCAGTGCCAGAACATTCCAACATGTAGGGAAAGTAGCTAATTTAATGTAGTCACAGCAGGACTCAGTTTAAGGGGGTCTTAACAGTAAGCCCCTGGATGCATAAGGGAAGCCAGAGGCCATCAGAGCAAGTAGTATGTAACTAAGGTAAACTGAAGAGTTCTCAATCAGTGTGAGCCACATATACCCAGAAATTCACAGCAGTGCACCCACTCCTAATCTCCACTAACATCCTCCATCCTCCATCCTACATCTATCTCCTTTGGGTCCCTACACCCAAAGGAGAACCCCAAGCAGGCTTTCTTCCTTCATGCTCTTCTAACTCTACCAATTCCATGGAACAAGACTTTTTAAACCTTAGAGTCTACTTTGGGACAAATGAAGATGTCATGAGTAAAGCAGACTGAAGGTCCCCAAGGCCACCAACAGCAGACAGACCCAGGTACACTGCAGAAGGAGAAACTCACATCTTGGTCTTCTGGAGCCACATCTTTCAATGAGGGTCTGGGAGACTGGAGAGACTGACCCAAAGATTCGGAGATCAGAGTGGGAGTTCCTGGACCTGGAGATAGTTCAGGCTGTTCATTCCCCTTCTCAAAAAAGGAAAAAATGTCTACCCCGGATTTCAGGAACTCAGAGTAAGTCCCCCTTTTCATTGTTTTGCCCTGAAATTTAAAAAAAAAAAAATGAGAGGAATTAATTTATATTTGAAAATATTAAACCAACTTAAATACTAATTTTTAAAAAAGTTATCTGGGCTTAAATTATGCTTTTTGAAAAAAAAAAAAAATCCCTGGGTCTAGAATACTTGCTGAGAAATCTAATTCAGTCAACCTCTCACAGAACTGAGCATTGTGTTCTCTGCCAAACCCTGTGTTAGGTGGTGGACTATGTGAAAGAAACGTGGTATCATCTGTTAAAAATGGAGGCCCTTTGACATAAGTACCCTGGGAACTTAGGGAAGCAAGAAGCACAGAAGTTGGTGTGAAGATTGGCAGTCTTTTTAGACAACATAGGAATTGAGAGAAGCCTCATGTGACAAGCAGAATTTTAAAAAAACAGTCAACTGGGAAGAATATTCCGGGAAAAAAAGTTAAACTTGCCCCAGAGGTGGGCACAAGCACTTTTACATAGGTAAGGGTCACTCAGCAAGTATTCACTGACCACTGTCATAGTATCATGTGTCCCACTGGGATAAGATGTGTAGGAACCAGCCCTGGACAGAGAACCTACAAGATGCATCTTCATGATCTGTCCAACTGCCCCACACTCAGGAAGTTCCCAACTGAAAACTCAATATTCCGCCTGTTCAAGTAGTTAAACGAGGAGGCCATGAGTCTCTAAATCCTTAGCAGCCTGTGTCCACAAACCAAAATCTAAGCCAGAATCAAGGGACTCAGATCCAAGAAAATACTTACAACCAACCAACCACGTGCAACCAACCAGGCTTCCCCAAATCAGGCAATCGCTTAAGCTACAGCCAATCTAATCATGTTCTTTGAAAATGTGTGACATATCCTTGCACAGGTTCCCTCCCTTCCAAAATCATATAAAATAATGTGCAGATGTTTTCATTATCTTCTGACCTTTTGAAATAAGACTCAGCTGGTTCACTCAGTGGCAAATAAAACACTAGGGAAAAAACCCCAGGATGCGAAACTCATCAAATGAGAGCAGCTTGGTTGAGGCAGGTCAGGTGGAAGAAGGTGGCCCAAGATCCTCACTGGGACCCCTCTCACCCTATTCCCTGAGGTGAGCCATGGGGAGAAACCCAGTGAAGCCTTTGGGTAGCATCTGATACTGCAGAACTAGAAAGTTATACAGGATATAGTGTGGCTTGTTCCTCTTGGGAGGTGAAATTCACACACTTCTTTAATGAAATCACCACTTACTACTTCATATCTAATATGTACAATGAAATGACTAGTGATACAAAGACAGAAATTTCACCCAGCAGCCAAGCGCTGACAATTCCAAGAGGACTAGAGGGCAGCCATACCCTCTCTGCTGTGAGAGAGGGGCCAGACAAACAGTGAGGATGGACCCCAACTCGTCCAGGAGTGCTCTCCAGTGGACAAATAGCTGTTTTGTTAGTACTAAATTGGGGGTAGTGTTCTCAAAGGAGGCCATAAGGGGCCCCCAAACATCTTGGGACTGGCTAAATAGGTTATTCTTTGCTCATAACACTGTCAACACTGGGTTTGCACTCTAGAATCACCCCCTCTGAACATGAAATCAACTGCTCTCTACCTTGAAAACTTTAGCCCCGCCTAGAGGAATGAAGAAGAGTCAACACATGAAACTGCTTCTAGAGAGAGAGAAGTTCTGCATTTTAATAATCTTTCTTAGAGCAAAATTTCATTTCATAAGTCAGGGATCTGACCAAGAGCCCATGGGACAGGCAGGAGTTAACAACAGAAGTGCTGAGGCCCAGAGGCAAACGAGCCAAGGAGTGAAGCATCAAACTACCACCAAGTCTGCAAACTTCTCATTACTCTCCACCCCATCCCTAGTCATGCTAGGGGCTGTGGACTGGATGGTGGCTTCTCCTCAAAAAGATAAGTTCCAACATGACACCTGTGAATATGACCTTATTTGGAAACAGGGTCTTTGCAGATGTAATCAAGTTAAGATGAGGACACACTGGAGCAGGGTGACCCTACATCCACCTGATGGAAGGGTCTGATGTCCCTATGAGAAGAGACTCAGACATGGGGACAATGGCCATGTGACATCAGAAGCAGAGACCACAGCACTGTAGCTGGAAGCCAAGGAACACAAGGAAGGCAGGTGAACACCAGAGGCTGGAGGTAAGGATTCTCCCCTGGAGCCTTCAGGGAGAGCACGGCCCTGCCAGCACCTGGATTTTGGATCGGTAGTCTGCAAAACAGGGATACAATAAATTTCTGTTGTTTAAAGTCACCCAGCTTTGTGACGGCAGCTCTAGAAACTGATACTCTAGCCTGAGCCCACACTTCTGTCTTCTCAGCTTTACTAAACCTTGTAACTGCTTCTGCTGTCGCCCTTCCAGTGACCATCAGAGGACTCTCTTAACTCCCACATCAGACCACATCTCTCCTCTGCTCTGGACCCTTCAAGGCTTCCATCACACTTCTGGTCCCCTGCCCACTGCTTGGAGACCAGCTCCCTCTCATCCTCTCTTCACTTCCCTCAGACACGCTGGTCTTCCTGCCATTCCTCTAACCTGCCAGGTCGCTCCTTCCTTAGGACTCCTTACCTCAGACCCCCTCCCCCAGGTGACTGTGTGGCCCCCATCTTCATGTCACTCAGACCCCGTGAGGCACCAGCTCCTCAGGGAAGGAGACAGGATGTCACCTTTGTCACATCCTCCCCATAAGAACAGGAGCCCCATGAACACAGGGCCTTGTCCTCCTGCCACATAGGCTCCCACACGTATCAGGCACATAGAGACCTGGGCAGGGAGACCAGCAACTGGAGACACCAGCAGGGAGGATGTCTCTGACCTGGGTACTCGGATACCCAACCTCAATTCTGGTGTTAATGGAAGATACTCTTTAGACAAACTGCACATGATAATCGCAGGGGTACAAGCAGGTCTTAGCATCTCTAACTTCTAAGTAATACACTTTGACTTAAGTCATGGAAGAGGAAAATAAAAAGTTCTAGATAAAGTTGCATCATTATCCTTAACAGATTTCATCAGAACAGTGATAATTCAATAACCCTGTGTTTGCACTTTTATACACTTTAGGGTTTATGTGGCTTACAGCATAGTAGTTACATTTCTATAGGTCTTTGGATTCATTCCCCAAGGCATGAACACCAACTCTTAGAAGAAGAGGGCAAAAAACTGAGGGAGAAGAGGGCACTTACCATGAATCCAAGGAGAGTGACCTGCAGAGAGGTGTGTCCCTGAACACACCTGAGTGCTAGTAATTCCCCAGACTTCTAGAAATTACTTACATCTCTCAGTATCAGAATCTGACTTGCATCTTTCAGGTACTGCAGCTGATGAGTCACTAAGATTATGATCTTCTCCTTCAAGGCCTGACGAATACAACTACAAATGTAAAAGGTACAGAATACAAAAGCACATTAATGCGGGTGCTTCAAACTGGAAAGTTGTATTTTGAAAACAGTGAGACAAAGACCACACAGCAGTCAAAGGTCTTTAGTTTAAATACCAAATCAATGATACAAATTAAACAAAAATCAATTAATCTGACTAGGTTCTTAAATTTATCAGCAGCAAGCTTGAACCTAGCTCTGCTTAAAAATTCTAAAAAAGAGTCCAGTGAAGGAGGCACCAACAACTAAGTACTTTTTTTTCCCCTAAAATTCAGTTTAACAATTATTTACATGTTTCATAAAGAAAAACAACTGAGTAATACTGAGATTCCAAAATTTGACTGAACTAAAAGACTATCTTACTGCTATGTGGGAATTGGAGGAGAGGAATCTATGTAGTATAAAAATGTGTACATTCTTAGATAGCTTTTTAGGTTATTATTTATAATTAATAATGCAAATATTAGCAACAAAAATTAATAGATTCTTTAATAGCACCTTTGTCAGAGTGTGTTTTCTAGATACTTCTTCCTAAATAATATTAAACAGAAATTGAATGCCAGCATGGCTTCCATCATTCTCTACAACATTCTCAGTCCCATCCAGGAAGCAAGTCTTCTTTCATTAGGACTGAACACCTTTCAAATATGAAAATAACAGAACGGAATCCAAGTTACCCAAATCACAGTGGAAATAACCCAATGGCTCAAAGGACATATCAATTCTCTGTAGTCAAGACACCCCTCACTATTTAACCTTAAATTTTTTTCACAGTAAAAAACAAAACAAAAACTGCTCCTACATTTTAAATGCAGTCCTCTAGGAACTCAGCCCCAGTCTCACCCACAGGGTCCACAACCCTCCAGGGAAGCGAGTGGCCAGGTCTGGGGCCCTGCTGACCATGGGCAGGGCTCCAGGCAAGAACTCTGGGAGCCTGAGACCCTCACAGAGCAAATCTCAGGAACCTGGGCCACAGCTCAGCTGAGTGAGTCAGATGAAGAGTCTGGAGGCAGCAGACAGCAGCTCAGTCCCTCTCATGAACCTGACGACATCGAGTGACTAAACCTCAGCTTCTTCATATCAAAACAAAGCCAGTGACAACCCATCCACACATTCTGAGAAACCAAACGACCAGTTAGCTCAGTAAATGTCAGCCCCCTTCCCCTCTCCTCCCTAACCATGAGCAGTCCTGTGCTTTGGACTCAGGATAGAAAAGTCCCAAGGGGACACTCTGGACACTGGGTCTGTGATCAGAAACCAGACTCCGGGAGGTAGACACAAACACCATCGCTTCGTTAAGTCCAAAAGGATTCATTTTTTACCTTTTGACATGTCAGTCCATGAATGTCCTCTGAAGGAAAAGCAAGGGGGGTGCTGTCTTACATGTGGAGACACGGAAGCTCTGAGACTCTCTGGGGAAACATCCTAAAAGAAGACATGGCAGGTGCAGGGTTCCTGGGACAGAACATGCTGGGCTGAGGAATCTTCCTGCATTCACAGCTTATGGGGGGTGGGGGACTCATAAATGGTCAAGTGCACCCACTGAGGGCTGTGGGAAGACAGAGGGCACGGGCGCCCCCTGGAGGAGTGGGAGGGAACGGCAGGGCTGGTCTTCCACCTTCTGTGTCCTGGCACACTGCTCCCTGGCTCTGGGACAGAGGGACCAGTAGGTACAGACAGACAGGGGTCAGAAAGGATCCCCGCAAAGTCAGCATGGCTGTATCAAATGGGTGTGGGGATGAGCTGCAAAGGCTGATGGGGCAGACAGGAAAGAAGCCTGTTCTCTGTTTGAGGACTTAGAGCTGCATCCTGAATGTGGGAGTGGGGCATGGTCTGAGAAGGGCTAGAGCAGGAGGGTGAGGTGTGTAAATAGAACCATGGGAATCTGATCAGGACAGACCTTAAGAGCTGATGATGCAGGAGGCAGGGGTCTGGGATGTGGGGCTGAAACACGTTGAGATCCATAGCATGATCCCCATGGCATGACAAGACTGCAACAGGTCACCTAAATCCTTTCGCCTTCTATAGGTGATAGAACCCACTTAGTGTTCACAGAGTATAGATGCAAATCTCACAAACCTTAATAACCCTGGATATAGATTCATGACTGAAGGAATCGGTTAATGGCAAAGTAGAAGTGTGATTCATTAACTTATAACACAAAGCACTTCTCATTACTAAGCTCCCACATGACTACTATCTCTCACAGCATATTGTTCCACCCAGCTCTCTAACTTGAGAACACTCTCCAGTTGCTGCTGGGTGGTTTTCTAAATTGCTTTCATGCTCTCTGCTTTAAGTCACCCTAGACAAAGTGGTTCTTATTAGCAAACAGCAATCTTAACCTTGCTTCTATCAAGTATATATCCAAAGTGGTGCACCCAAAATATTTGAGAGGATTTTATAAACATCACCTGTGTTCAAAAAAGAACTCAGGAGAACATCTGTGATCAGCACACTGTACTTGACACCAAAATGCCTTGCTCTCCTCTCCCTGTGACACGGATGCAATGATCAGCAGAGTCTGTTCCTGCCCTGATGGAGAACTTGGGCAGATACACACAAGATGGGGTGACACAAATTTGTGAGCTCAGGGTGGGGTGCTGGGAAGAAAGAGACTGAGATACTCATGATGCCAGGAGGGTGGGGATGGGGAATCCCTGTCACAGCACTAGCTCCTGTCACTGAACTCATGACAAGACACAAGGCACTTCTCTAAGGGAAAATTCATCAAGTCAGTAATAGGAGAGGGTGGGAAAGGGGGGTCAGATCAGAGAGCTGGAGACCATGTCATGTGTCAGCAGTCCTGCTCTCTAGTGTTCTCAAATATTCAGTGCTACTATGCAGGTTTGTGTGCATATGTGTTACAATATACCTAACATGAAATTGACCATTTTAATCATATAGCCAGATAGTGGCATTACGTACATTCACATTGTTGTGCAGCCATCACCAGCATCCATCTCTATGACACTTTCATCACCCAAACACTAGGCACGTCTTACATCTGGGCAGTTTCTGCCAAAGTCTAACAACCACTGCTTAGTGGATGTGGAATCCTAGCTCCTCATGTCCAGAGCTCAGAGCTCCTCACATACCTACTGATTTTGCTGAAGTCCGTTTACTTTGCTATTCTGGGCCTGCTATACACCAATCATGTCCCCCCTCAAATTCATACATCACCTTAGTTATTAGCACCTTAGAATTTGGTGACAGGGATCATAAAGAAGTAATCACTACCCTTAAATACACTGCTCCTAGTCTGTTCTGACTGGTGTGCTTAGATGAAGAGGAGTCTAAGACATAAGGATATGGACACAGGCATGTAAATCAATGAAGTTAGAACACACCCTCCCACCATGCACAAAATAAACTAAAAATGGCTTAAAGACTTAATCATAAGATGTGACACCATAAAACTCCTAGAAGAGATTAAGGGCAAAATATTCTCTGACATAAATTATAGCAATGTTTTCTTAGGTCAACCTTCTAAGGCAACAGAAATATAAACAAAAATATACAACTGGTGGCTGCCCTGGTGGCTCAGTGGTAAGGAATCCACCTGCCAGTGCAGGAGACACAGGATCTTTCCTGGTCCCAGAAGATCCCACACGTGCAGAGCAACTAAACCCATGAACCACAACTACTGAGCCTGAGCTCTGGAGCCCAGGAGCTGCAACCACTGAGCCCACACATCCTAGAGCCTGTGCTCTGCAACAAGAGAAAAAGAAAGTAAAGAAAGTTAAGTCACTCAGTCATGTCCAACTCTTTGCGACCCCGTGAACTGTAACCTACCAGACTTCTCCATCCATGGGATTTTCTAGGCAAGAATAATGGAGTGGGTTGTCATTTCCTTCTCCAGGGGATCTTTCCATCCCAGGGATTGAAACTGGGTCTCTCGTGTTGTAGGCAGATGCTTTACCATCTGAGCCACCAGGGAAGTTCAATGAGAAGTCCACACACCACAACTAGAGTAACCCCTGCTCATCACAACTAGAGAAAAACCATCACAGCAACAAAGACACAGTACAGCCACAAATAATTATCCTTTTAATTAAAAAAAAACAAAGAAATGGGACCTAATCAAATTTACAAGGTTTTGCACACCAAAGGAAACCATAAACACAATGAAGAGACAACCTACAGCTGGGAGAAAATATTTGCAAATGATGTGACCAACAAGGGCTTAATTTCTAAAATATACAAACAGCTCATACAACTCAACAAGGAAATATAATTTTTTAAAAAATGGGCAGAAGAACTAAATAGACATTTTTTCCAAAGGACACATAGAGATGGCCAATAGGCACATGAAAAGGAGCTCACCACTGTGAATTATCAAAGAAATGCAAATCAAAACTACAATCACCTCACGCCAGTTAGAATCAGTTCAGTTCAATCGTGTCCGACTCTTTGCGACCCCATAGACTGCAGCACACCAGGCCTCCCTGTCCAGCACCAACTCCTGGAATTTACCCAAACTCATCTCCATTGAGTTGGTGATGCCATCCAACCATCTCATCCTCTGTCATCCCTTTCACCTCCTGCCCTCAATCTTTCCCAGCATCAGGGTCTTTTCCAATGAGTCAGCTCTTTGCATCAGGCGGCCAAAGTATTGGAGTTCAGCTTCAACATCAGTCCTTCCAATAAACACACAGGACTGATCGCCTTGCAGTCCAAGGGACTCACAAAAGTCTCCAACACCGAAGTTCAAAAGCATCAATTCTTCGGCACTCAGCTTTCTTTATAGTCCAACTCTCACATCCACACACGACTATTGAAAAAACCATAGCCTTGACTCGACAGACCTTTGTTGGCAAAGTAATGTCTCTGTTTTTTAACGTGCTGTCTAGGTTGGTCATAACTTTCCTTCCAAGGAGTAAGCATCTTTTAATTTCATGGCTGCAGTCACCATCTGCAGTGATTTTGGAGTCCCTCAAAATAAAGTCAGCCACTGTTTCCCCATCTGTTTGCCATGAAGTGATGGGACTGGATGCCATGACCTTAGTTTTCTGAATGTTGAGCTTTAAGTCAACTTTTTCACTCTCCTCTTTCACTTTCATCAAGAGGCTCTTTAGTTCTTCTTCACTTTCATAAACACCTCACACTAGTTAGAATGGTCAACACTAAAATAGCAATGGCTGAGAGGGTGTGGAGATAAGGGAACCCTCTTACACTACTGCTGAGGATGACAGTTGCTGCAGGCACTATAGAAAACAGCATGGAAGTTCCTCAGAAAACTAAAAATAGAATTACCTTATAATCCAGTAGTCCCACTTATGGACATATATATGCACAAAACTATAAACCAGAAAGACATGTATCCCTATATTCATAGCAGCACTATTCACAATAGCCAAAACATGGAAACAATGTAATGTTCACCAACAGATGAATGGTTGTGGTACATATAGATAATGTAATACAAAGTTCTGTCTAGTCAAGGCTATGGTTTTTCCAGTAGTCATGTATGGATGTGAGAGTTGGACTGTAAAGAAAGCTGAGCACTAAAGAATTGTTGCTTTTGAACTGTGGTGTAGGAGAAGACTCTTCAGAGTCCCTTGGACTGCAAGGAGATCCAACCAGTCTGTCTTTTTTTTTTTCCATTTATTTTTATTAGTTGGATGCTAATTACTTTACATCATTACAGTAGTTTTTGTCATACATTGAAATGAATTAGCCATGAATTTACATGTATTCCCCATCCAGTCCATCTTAAAAGAGATCAATCCTGGGTATTCATTGGAAGGACTGATGTTAAAGCTGAAACTCCAATACTTTGGCCACCTGATGCAAACAGCTGACTCATTTGAAAAGACCCTGATGCTGGGAAAGATTGAGGGCAAGAGGAGAAGGGGACAGCAGAGGATGAGATGGTTGGAAGGCATCACCAACTCAATGGACATGAATTTGGGTAAACCCCAGGAGTTGGTGCTGGACAGGGAGGCCTGGCATGCTGCAGTTCACGGGGTCGCAAAGAGTCAGACATGACTGAGCAACTGAACTGAACTGAACTCAGCCATAAAAAAAAGGAAAAAGAATGCCATTTGCAGAAACATGGATGGACCTGGAGATTATTATACTAACTGAAGTTAAGTCAGAACGAGTAAGACAAATATCATATAATATCACTTATATGTGTAATCCAAAATATGGCGAAAATTAACCCATTGACAAAACAGAAACAGACTCACAGACATAGTAAACAGATTAATGGCTGTATGGGTGGGAGGGGTGTGGGGGAGGGATGGACTTGGAATTTGGGGTTATCAGATGTAGAGTATTATGTGTATAATGGATAGACAACAAGGTCCTACAGTACAGTATAGTGAGCTATACTTAGTATTCTGAGATAAGCCAAAATGGAAAAGAATATTGAAAAGAATGTATGTATATATGTAACTGAGTAACTTTGCATACAAAGAAATTAACACAATAAAGTAAAGCAATTATATTTCATTTTTTTTTTCTTAAAAAGGACAGAGATGGGGCTGCACATAGACAGAAGACAAGCCATGTGAGGACACAGCAAGGTGGATGCCACCAGCAGCCAAGGAGAGCATTCTCAGCAGAAACCAAACCTGCCCACATATTGAAATTCCAGCCTCCAGAACTATGAGAAAATTAATTTCTATTCTTTAAGCACTCCATCTGTGACCACTTGCTATAGACTGAATGCTTTTGTCCTCAAAATTCATATATTGAAACCTAATTCCCACTGTGTGCTACAAGTGTAGCCATTGGGAAGTGACAGGTCATGAGGGTGGAGCCCACATGAATGGGATTAGTGTCCTTATAAAAGGGACTACACGGCTCCCTCATCACTTCCCCACATGAGGACACAGGAATCGTGCCCTCACCAGACGCTGAATCTGTCAGCACCTGAACTTGGACTTTCCCAGCCTCCAGAACCATGAGGGATAAACTGCTGTTTCTCATGAGCCACCCAGGCTCTGGTCTCCTGTGAGAGCAGCCTGGATGGACACAGCCCCAGCAAACCAACACATGACCTGACAGCGAGAATTCCCAAAGGGCTGCTCTCTACCGAACACCCCGCCTCCTCCAGGCCCTCGAGGACGTGCCTGCTGTCCTCCTCACAGCCCTGCTTCCTTCTCCCCCTACACCTATACTTCTACTCTTCCTTCAGCAAAAGGACTGGGTCCTATTCTCAGCCTCCACACACCTGCCTAGCCTGCAGGCCCCAGGGCACTGCCCGCCCAGCCCCAGGCACAGGGAGCTTTCCAACTTCAGTGAAAGCCTCCAGCTGCCACTTCCACTTAGTATTTCCTACCCTCTAAACCTTGACTCAGCTGACCTTTTCCCAGGCATCTGTCTTAACAAGCTCCATGTAGAAACAGGTTCCTCAGAGGCAGGAAATGAAAGCTGGGTGTCCTAGTCTCCCTTATTCTGCCCAGTGTGGGTCCTTCCCCTCTCCTGGCTCACTGTCCTCCTTATAGACTGAGGTTTCGTGAAAGAATATCTGTAAGGGCATTGATCTCCATGCATATAGCAGGGCATTAATAAGTGCAGCTGGAAGGCTTGTTGGCTTTAACAAGGGAACAATAGCAAGGGAACTAACTGTGCAGGTAGATGTGGAGGCTGCTTCAGAAAAAGTGAATTCATGAGGCTTTCAAAGAAGACAGTCTAGACTCCAACAGAGGCCTCAGTCAGTGTGTATTAGGACAGAAAAGCATCAGAGCTGTTCTCCTTCAGGATTTCCGTGGCCAAGAAAGAGTCACTTGCAACAAATTCCAAAAACAAAGTGAGAGTCAGGACTTCAGAAAGATTCTAAACACCGAGTTTCAAATTCGAGTCAACCCTATATGTGGGTCTAAGTATTAATTCTAGTAAGGATCCATGAAGAAAAGTTAAATAATTGAGCCATACTCAGATGTGGAATAAATCATCTGTAAATTCTAAACTTTATTAAGTGTTTCTAGACCAACAGAATACTAAGCATAAACCAACAGGGTCTTTAACTTCTAATGTGCCTTCAACAAATGACAAAGGAAAAGAACTGGCAGCCAATTACCAGGTTACCAAGTCCTAGTCTCTGATTTAAAAACTTTACATCAGCCTTCTTATCCCTGGGGTCTTGATCCATCAACTGCAAGTCCTGGAGGAATCTGCCATCTATCCCTGACTCCCTAAGTCAGACCCCACTGGCCCCCACACACTGGAAGCACCTTCTGTATCTTCCTGTCCTGACCTGATCATGATGCAAAATTTCTCCATGATGGATCTTCTGTGTAGGGAAGGGAGGGAGAGAGGGACACCAGGGCAGAGTTTAGTCTCCTGAAGCACAAAGACCTTCCTGAACTCTCTTCCCTGATCTCTACAGGGTTCCTGGAAAGAAGAAGTGACAGACAATAGGAGCAAACTCACTGTTCGAACAAGAGTCTGCTGACTCCTGCATCTACTGCGCTGAGTGGATCGTCCAGGAGGTAGATGTCTGCATCTTGATAGACGGCTCTAGAAAACATAGAGAGACATAAGAAGACACTGCACACTCCCTGGGTCTCATCTCTGAATCATGACGTTGTCCAACAACTCCATGGTTCATTCCAGGAGCCCAGGGGAAGGACCAAGACCCTTCTTCACACAGGCCCACCCGGCGAGCGGGGTCTGTGTGCTCACATACACTAGGAGCCACGGAAGAAGAGGGGCAGGATGGCAACTGAGACCCCATTTACCTGGCGAGGCTGACCCGGGCTTTCTGTCCTTCACTCAGGGGGGTTCCTCCTTCTCCTGTCACAGTTAGATCTCCTTCCTTCAAATTCTGCAAATCCTGGATGGAGATAGAAAAGGGAAAAAAGAATATTTAAAATGTGCTGTCCTCCTGCCATCAAAGCCTTTTTGTATCAGTTCTTCATACAAGTATTTAATTAATAGCAATGGGCTTATTTCACAGTGACTAAACTGTAACCAGGAAAATTTTAAAAAGCTCTCAGGGGACATGGGAAGATGGCGGAGGAATAGGAGGGGGAGACCACTTTCTCTCTTACAAATTCATCGAAAGAACATTTGAATGCTGAGCAAACTGCATAAAACAAATTCTGATCACTAGCAGAGGACATCAGGCAACCAGAAAAGCAGCCCATTGTCTTTGAAAGGAGGTTGGACAAAATATAAATGATAAAAAGAGAGACAAAAGAGCTAGGGATGGAGACCCGTCCCAAGGGAGCCATAATAGAGGAAGTTTCCAAACACCAGGAAACCCTCTCACTGGCGGGTCTGGGGGAAGTTTTCGAATCTCGGGGGGCAACCTAACTGGGAGGAAAAATAAATAAAACTCACAGATTACATGCCTAAAAGCAACTCCCAGCGGAAAAGTACCCCAGACGTTCGCATCCACCACCAGCAAGTGGGGGCTGAATGGAGAAGAAGGGGCAGCATTGCTTAAGATAAGTACCGGGCCTGAATGCCCTGAGCACAATCGGAGGGAGCTAACGCGAGATAGCAACTTAAACTGTGGGATAGCAAGAGAGAGAGAGAAAATAACTGGAGAAAAGTACATGAACCAAACACACTGCCGGCCATTGGCAGAACAAAAGACTGAGCAATTCCAGAGAAGAGATAGCCGGGCAGTGGACCGGCCCATCCCCCGCTGGAGGCAGGAGGCAGGGGGAAGGGGAAAGGGGCAAACTCAGCCCCAGAGATGGCATCCCCTACCAAACTGCAAACAGGCTCCCAGTTTCTAACCAAAGACTTCCTGAGATTCTGGATGGTTGACATCTGCAGGAGGGTCGCGGCTAGAGGCCAGCTCCCCAAAACAGACACAAGGCACACCCGATTGGCGTGTGTGGAAACTGAGGCTGGGACTGCAGAGGGGATAAGGCGCACCGTACCCGGGGAGAATCAAGCTCCTGGCTGCCTGAGCTACTCGGGCGGGGAAGGCACAAAACGCAGGCCCAACCAAGTCTGTGCTTTTGTGGAAGACCCGAAAACTGGAACCACATGCCACGCAGGGCCCACTCCCTATAGAGCAGCCTGGAGCCTGCCTGAGCAGTGTAGACGGGGAAAGCACACACACCCGTGAGTGGGGCAAACCCAGTGGGGCTGGAACACTGTGAGTGCTCCCCACACACTCCAGTGACATTAGTCTGCAGCGCCCCTCCCTCCCTGCAGCAGGACTGAATAAGCAAACTTAAACAAGAGACCACCTCTGCCCGCTTGTGTCAGGGTGGAAATTAGATACTGAAGAGACCTGCAAACAGGAGCCAAACAAACAAAGGGAACCACTTCAGAGGTGACCTCTACAAAAGATTAAAATCCCTGTAGTTAACACTGACTACACCAGAAGGGCCTATAGATATAGAGACGTGTAAGCTGGAACAAGAAGCTATCTGAAACTGAACTGAACACACTGCCCACAACAGCTCCAGAGAAATTCCTAGATATATTTTTACTATTTTTTTTAATTAAAAATTTTTTTTCTTTTTAAAAAAATTTTTCTCTTATATTTTCTTTTAAAATTCCCTATTACTCCTCTATTATTCCTTAATTTTCAATTTTCATATATTTTTGCTACTTTTTTAATTAAATTTTTTTTTCTTTTTTTTCTTTTATTTTCTTTGAAAGTCCTCTATTACTCCATTACTCCTTAATTTTCATTTCACTATAATGTTGCATAAAAAAGGACTATTTTGAAACTGAACTCCATACATATTTCTTAAATTTTTTGTGTTTTTGTTTTTAATATTGTATTTTTAAGAGTATAACCTCTACTCTAGATTTTTAATCTTTGTTTTTCAGTATTTGATATCAATTTTGGACATTTAAGAATCCACTATTCAGTACCCATTTTTATTCAGGAGTATTATGATTACTCTTTTCCCCTTTTGACTCACCTTTTTCTCCCCCAGATCACCTCTATTTCCTCCCCACACCTTCTCTTCCCAATCCAATTCTGTGAATCTCTGTGGGTGTTCTGGGCTACGGAGAACATTTAGGGAACAAAGTACTGTGTAGATCTGTCTCTATTCTCTTAAGGCCCCCTTTTTCTCCTCCTGCTCATCTCTATCTACTTCCTCACTCTCCTCTTCTCCATATAACTCTGTGAACCTCTCTGGGTGTCCCTCATGGTGGAGAATATTTTCACCATTAACCTAGAAGTTTTATTATCAGTGCTGTATAGTTGGAGAAGCCTTGAGGCTACTGGAAGAATAAAACTGAAAGCCAGAGGCAGGAGACTTAAGCCCAAAACGTGAGAACACCAGAAAACTCCTGACTACAGGGAACATTAAGTAATAAGAGATCATCCAAAAGCCTCCATACCTACACTGAAACCAACCACCACCCAAGAGCCAATAAGTTCCAGAGCAAGTCACACCATGCAAATTCTTCAGCAATGCAGGAACATAGCCCTTAGTGTCAACATACAGGCTGCCCAAAGTCACACCAAACACATAGACTCATCTCAAAGCCCACTACTGGACACTCCATTGCACTCCAGAGAGAAGAAATCCAGTTCCATGCACCAGAACACCGAGGCAATCTTCCCTAAACAAGAAACCTTGACAAGCCAATTATCCAACCCCACCCACTGGGAGAAACCTACACAATAAAATGGAACCACAGACCACCAGAATACAGAAAGGCCACTCCAAACACAGCAGTCTAAACGAGATGAAAAGGCAGAGAAATACCCAATAGGTAAAGGAACATGAAAAAGGCCCACAAAGCCAAACAAAAGAGGAGGAGATAGGAAATCTACCTGAAAAAGAATTTAGAATAATGATAATAAAAATGATCCAAATCTTGAAAACAAAATGGAGTTACAGATAAATAGCATGGAGATGTGGATTAAGATGCAAGAAATGTTTAACAAGGACCTAGAAGAAATAAAAAGGAGTCAATTAAAACTGAATAATGCAATAAATGAGGTCAAAAACACTCTGGAGGGAACCAACAATAGAATAACAGAGGCAGAAGATAGGAGAAGTGAGGTAGAAGATAAAATGGTAGAAATAAATAAAGCAGAGAGGAAAAAAGAAAAAAGAATCAAAAGAAATGAGGACAACCTCAGGGACCTCTAGGACAATGTGAAATGCCCCAACATTCGAATCATAGGAGTCACAGAAGAAGAAGACAAAAAGAAAGGCCATGAGAAAATACTAGAGGAGATAACAGCTGAAAACTTCCCTAAAATGGGAAAGGAAATAGTCACACAGGTCCAAGAAACCCAGAGAGTCCCAAACAGGATAAACCCAAGGTGAAACACCCCAAGACATATATTAATCAAATTAACAAAGATCAAACACAAAGAACAAATATTAAAAGCAGCAAGGGAGAAACAACAAATAACACACAAAGGGATTCCCATAAGGATAACAGCTGATCTATCAATAGAAAC